CTGCAACTGCCATTAATGTGATACTCCTGCACGGATGTTTTGGGCAACACGTCCTTCATCAGCGTTTATTCGGGTCCCAGAAATGAAACTGCAGCTTCCTCACTGCAGTGACGCAGTGAGGAGAAACTCAGCTCATTTTAAGGCAACGAAAACACAAATATTCTTATATTCAGGTGATTATACACTAATGATTATTATATTACCTTTCTGACAATAGATCCTCCTCAATGTTACACACTGGACCTTTTTAAGGAGATGTAAATGAGACTGAGCCTCCTGGAGGAATCAGAGTAAACTCCTCCGACCAGCAGGGGGAGCCGCAGCCTCAGAGCGGCTGTCAGGATGAAACTCTACATCATAGAAAAATAATACAAACTGTCCAGCCACTCAGAAGCCAGTATTCCCTGTTGCTATGGTAACAGTCTCAGTACATTATGTGATCACTGTCACCTGCTGACACTGCTTTTATATAAAAAAAAAACAACAACCTGGACTCATGTTCTCTGAATCACAACAACAACAACAACAACAAACAGCACGAAGCCACTGCAGCGTGATGTTGTGTGTGTGGATGTTGTTGATCCCGTCACCATGGCGACCGCTGCCCAGCAGCTGCTGTCACCGGCGGTCTGATGTCGTGCCGGTGTCAAGGTCCCGTGACTGTCATTCGTCAAGTGTAAGTGACAAACGTGTCTTTAAATAACGGTGACCTCCGACCTGAATGAACGTGTCACACGCAGCTCAACAGAGAGTCAGATCAGTGTCTGCTGGACGTCTCCTGTCCTCAGTGTCTGTCCCACAGTGACAGGAAGTCCTGTTTAGGTGTTATTGATGGGATTTTCCTGAAAATCAATAAACGCTTTCTCTCTTCTGACGCCAAGAGTGTTTCTGAGGTTGTTACAGACATTTATAACCTCACTGATTATCTGATTAGCTCAACTTTATAACTGAATTCAATGAAACTGGATCAGATTTTATGGAGAAAATATTGTCTGGTTTTCCCTCTGACGTCCTCCGGCTGCTCTGCTTCAACTCTCTGTGATTTACAGAGTTTCCTGATGAACA